ACTTTTGTTTTATGGCTCCCTAACATGATAATAGTCAATCTTGGTATCTTTATGCTTGATGTGTTCATATGGATCCCCGTCTCGTTGTTACTTTCCAAATTTAGGGGCTTTTCAAGAGATCTAGGAATCCTCTTACCAAGGATTTGTCTCGAGATTGGCTTGCTCTTTCAATTACAGATTGATGCTTCAATGCCATGTCTCTCTTCCATTTGGGAGTGGTTTAATGATGATCGATAATGATTGCGGTCATCCGGTGGCGTGTATCTTCCACCCTTTCCTCTATAACCATGAGGTGGGGTCAGGTGTCCTTGACATAGATTGCGACCTAGCAATCTAGCATAGGTTCTAGCTCACCTTTCTTCCCACCACACAAAATTTTACGATAAAAAATTATTCTTAGTGGAAGTGAACTACAAGTTTTCTTTAATCTTATGTATCCTTTTAGCGAGGAAGTGTGAATTTTGTTGTTGCACTAGGTTATAGACATTATTGAGCAGTTTGTTTGCTCCTTGTGCGTCTAAACTAGCTTGTAGCTGCTGGAGACTATAAATTATTTCTTGTATAGGAATTATAGGTTGCAATGAATGTTTCTTCAAAGTTTGACCTTGAAGCGGTTGTAAAGGAGTTTGTTAGGTCATAAGAACTTGAAAGGTCCCTAGTTTGATTGTTGGAGCATCTTCAGTTGGGGGAAGAAGTGGAGCCTCCCTTACCGGATCTAGAGATTTGGTTACGACCACTAGCACGACTATGGCATTGTGTGCAAAAATCGAGTGAATGGCTTTCGATGCTACCATGACAAGAAGAATTTCATAAATGAGTTGTCTGAGGAAGAGATCAATGTTTTGATAAAGAGAAGATTGTTTATCTAAGAAAGAAGAGAACGATGATCTAAAATTGTGTTTCTTCATGAAGATTCGTGGGAATCAGAAGTCAATTCCCACAGGCAAAGCCACAATTTCGTACATGAAGATGTAATTTGTGGAGATCGAATATACTTGAGTTTCGATGCGGTGGAATAAGAACCGGTACGACAGAGCGAGAGTGAATCTGCAAGGTTAACACTTTAACGTCTAAGTCATTGAATGAGCGAGAGAATAATTTGAGTGTGTGAATGAGAGAATACCTGAAATGACGCATGTTATTCTCTATATAAGATAGTCAGTTAAAATCGTCTTCATAAGATCCGACGCCTTATGCGGGTGACCGTTCGATCAGATCCAATGGTAGAAAATGCGTTGGGGCCGGAATCATGTGTCAACGACTAGACTAAAGTCTCATCTATTTCATTCATCATTTTGCACGATACTTGCTGTTGATTTTTGTGAGCAACCCAGAACACAAACTAAAAATATACTAATTAACTCAATAAATAAATAATTTTTAATTCAATTTTTTTTACTTTAAGCATTTTATTTTAATTTTCATAAAATACACTTCAATTATTTTTTCATTTTTACTTATTAAGTAAGTGTATTTCTTAAAATCAAAAAACAGAAATCACTTAAAAATAAATAAAACCATACACTTTTTTGTTAGTTCTTTAAATAATATCATAAGTGCACTTGTTAGCCACTAAAATGAAACAAACAATAAAAGCAAAAGACATGAGCACCTCCAAAGTCTTGGTGCCTTTTTTCATGACATTTCTTTTCCAATGTTGCCGTAAAAGAAAGAAAGTGATGCATGCAATGCAACAGAGTCAATGAAATTATTCAACAATAAACCAACAACCACGCCACACTCACCCACTCAGAATCAGTCATGTTTTTCAGGAAGAAAATATAATACTAGTAATAAAAAAAATAGTTAAATGAAATTTAGAATTTTAGAATTTATCATAATTAGATAGATTTTCAAATTTTAGAGAATGTTTACTAAAATATATGTATATTATTTATCAAAATATTGTCAAATCGACTACAAAATTTTAGAATTAAAGTTACTCTGAAATTTATTTATTTTAACACAATTAAATATTGAACTGAGAAAATATTAAATAATTTGATGTTAAATTATATTCAATAAAATGTTAAAGAGTACTTAATTGTTCACTTTTTTTTAATACTTTTCTTCTTATTATTTAGAATATAATACTCCAATAACAAACACATACCTTTTTAATTGTGAAAGTCAGAATTTTTTCCATTCATATTTACTGTCTCAATCATAAAAGTGGAAAGTACCTTAAATCTTTGAGTAATTTTTATAATATTAATAATCCATGATTTAGTCCATTGTAATTATAGAAATATATTATAGACTTAAGTATGTCTTTCGTTTTTCTTAATATATAAAAATGATTTCTTTTTTTATAAAAAAAGTCTTAATGTATAAATAATTTTCTGATATATGTTTTTCTTTTCTTTTTTTAATGTCTTTTGTTTTGCTAGATAATGACTCATAAAAGGGGAAGGGATATCGGGCAAAATCGTTACATATCTTTTTTTTGGAATCTATGACAAAGATTACTAAGAGGCGAACCTACTTTTAGGTGAGCACTTTTCACTAGTCTCACTATCAAAAATAGATGCAACATTGTGTAATCTTATATGGATTAATAAAATATTGAAGTATCTATTTGTTCCAGGAGGTAACCCCAATAAAAGGTTAAAGGCTAGCAAATGGGTCGAGTCACGAATGACCCTAGGAGGAACAGAAGTAACGTTGTCCAATTGAGTCTCACTAGTAGATCTCCCAACGTCCCCATTAAAAAAAAAAGCTAGAAGATTCCTCGAGAAATATTCTTCAAAAACAGGACCACCAAAAGAACTGTCTAATTCAAAACTATCGAAGATAATCACCGATCCGAACCAGGATAAGAATGCTCCCCGAAAGATGTTATTTTTGTCATTAGTGGTCCTCATCCCCATCGATGACGAAATATCATAATTAAAGGAGTCACTTCCTGAGTTATCAGAGGAATCATTTATGGCAGCCATAACAAAGATAAAGGAATGTAAATCATATAATAAAACATCAAGGTTCAAAGGTGGTACCTATGAAGAAGGGAAAGACATTGTAATCATAAGTTGCCAAAAAAGTATGGAAGAACAAACAGTTTCTCAAAATACCGAATGTGGTTCAAGTAGTGGTGAAAGTAAAAATCCCACTCACAAAATTATATGAACTTTATATAAGGAAGCAAATCAAGCAAGCAACGACCGGGGGTGAAAGGAGACAAAAGGCAACAACTAGATTCCACCTCAGGAATAGAGCGACACTCGAGTATACTCAAGCACCTTAGGAGAAAATTGTATACCCTAAACTGTCAACTTAGGGGAACCTATAAAAAGGTCGCGCAAAACGCCTCAATTATGGGAAAGACATTTGCTATTGCAAAACATCATTGGGAGAAATCCCTCTGAAGCCGGTCAGGTGGGATCACAATCTTTCTGTCTGGCAGGAGGTATGTTAGGTAGGATCAATGACCATCAATGTTGGTGGTCCAAGGTTTTCACGTGTGTTTCTCCTTTTGGTGTTATTCATTGTCCAAATCCTCTTTTTGGTATCTAGGGTTCCCTATTTATACTGCTATTCTCCCTCTCCCAAGGATCCGAAGAGACCCACTCAATTACATTTATATGAACATAAATATGGTGTATTGGTCATTAGTAGGATAGTAGTTACAACCGTCCACTATTGATGGGTGTCATAACACTCCATGATTTATGGAAGAATGTTGTAATGACTAATTCATAACTTCATAACCGGTGAATGACCTTTGGCTATCCTTTCTAGAATCCAAGATGAATGCCTCCTTTATGAGTAAGTCATCCCGGGCATACCGGAATCCGGGATGTATATATCCTATAGTCGTTATATCGATTTGTACACATCGTCCCGGAACATGTCTCTAAGATCTCTAAGACCCGATTTCCTATTTGTTTCATAAGTAGTAACTCAGTTACCTTTTCAAGTACCTGACATGTCTGACCTTCACCTCTCGAGCCTAGTAACTAATAACTTGGTTCCGAGAATTTTGGGGTGTACAACATTTAATGCGTCAATCTTAAATTCTCTTTATCAATCGAACACGCCTAGTCTCACTCGTAGTCGGTTAAACGATAACAGGATGACACAGATCTTCGAAGACTTCTTGTTCAACATTTCACAAAAAGCGTTTGGGGTCTTTTGGAGTGGTCAAACACCTAATAAAAAGAGACTCATTATTGTTCCAAAGGAGGCATAACAATCCGCTCCATACATGGATAAGTACTCCCATGTGTAAATACTTTTTCACCTTTCATTCTACCTTTTTTTTTTATTCATATCACTAACTTGGACGTTAGAGTGCGAACCTAATAGGTCCCTCACCACTGCACCAAATGATGAGTGCAAGTGTGAGGAATTAAAGTCTCATACTGCCTATGTATGAATGAAATATTTGATTTATAAGAGAGATGACTCATTTACCTAACACCTTAAACTTTTAATTTGAGATGTTACATCTCCCTCTCGTGGTCTTGAATCATTAGTTATATTGGTGCTCCCGATTCTTCCGAACTCCTCAACACCAGATAATTGCAACACTCCACCAGAAGTTCAACCTCCTATCTAAAACATAATCTTAATTCCACTTCGAAACAATCTTAATTAAATTTTTTAGTTCACGAAATCAATTATTTATTTTAAAATTAAATAATTGATTTTTTGAACTTAAATAATATAAGTATAATGACTAAATATATATACTTTTTAAATCTATACAACAACTTAAAGTTAAAACCAAATATATTTACATGAATAAATAACATAGTAAAAGGTAAACTTCATTTTAATTATACTATTTATATACTTTAAAAATGAAATAGAAAAAGTAGAATAATATGTTTCCTTCATTCTACTCCATTCGTCCTTTCCTTTTAATTAGTTAACTTTCCCTTTTCCATATTTGTTGTCTTTATAAACAAGACATACCCTTCCCACAACATCACTTCACTTCATTGTTTTCATATTTTCTCCATGGTTAGAATAATAACAATCTCACAAACCTCATCACAATGTCTTCCCAATATTCCCTCATTTTCTTCTTCTTCCTTTTCCTCTCTTGCAACACCATCACTTCTTCATCATCATCATCACAAAACGACGACACTTTCGATTTTGTTCGTCCTATAGATCGCAAGCTGTTAGGCCTAACCAAGAAGGAAAAACTAAGTCATTTCAAATTCTATTGGCATGACATTCTGAGTGGAAAAAACCCATCTTCAGTTTCAATTCTTCCACCATCTTTAAACTCAAGCACTTATTTTGGTTCAGTCAACATGATTGACAACCCTTTGACATTAGGACCAGAACTGAGTTCGAAACTTGTGGGAAAAGCTCAAGGCTTCTATGCATCTGCTTCACAGGTTGAACTCGGTTTACTTATGGCTATGAATTTTGCTTTCATTGAAGGAAAGTATAATGGAAGTACTATCACTATCTTGGGGAGGAATCCTGCTTTCAATAAGGTTAGAGAGTTGCCTGTTGTTGGTGGGAGTGGACTCTTCAGATTTGCTAGAGGCTATGCTCAAGCTACTACTTACTCGTTGGATCTTAAATCTGGGGATGCTTGTGTGGAGTACAATGTTTATGTTTTTCATTATTGATTTGTTAATTATTGTTGTTATTGTTTATGTTATGTTTATCTTAGGATTTATGGATGTGTTAACTTTTATTGTAGTAGTTCTTAAAATAATGATTATTTGTATGTCCATGATAAAAGAAGTTCATTTTATTATGTTACTCTTAAATAATGGTTATTTTAGCAAGTACAAGTTTCAAGTGGTTAGGATTGAGATTCCAATTGGTTGGTTGAATGCTTCTTAGGTTTTAAACGATGGATAAATCATATTCATAGAACATTTGGCCATGTGATGTGATCACCTACTTGCAAAAATATTTACACATAGTAAGTAACTTTGCATGTAAGTCATGCACCTTCAACAATATTACACTCTATTCGACAATGAAAATTGTTTTTGCAAGCATCAAAACTAGCAATGCATTCTTCTTTAGATATGGTGATTGCAAGATTATCTCCTTTGACACAAGGTTTACAAAGTTGACTTGGAGAAATATCACAAATATTGTTATTTAGGGTTTGATTAAAAGTATATGGGTTAGATCGATTTTTAAAGTTGATGTTGGTATGTTGGTGAGCAGTTGTGATTGTGTGATTTCACAAGGATGAAGGTTGAGAAAGGCATGACCAGAGCAAAAAATAGTCGTTCATTGATGTACCTAAGAATCCACTTTAATGATTGCCAATGCGCCTTCCCAAAATTGGTGATATACTTGCTTACAAGGCTCAATCTGTATGTTATGTCTAGCCTTGTACAGACCAGAACATACTATACAAGCATATGAAATGCTATTCATATAGACTCTTTCGACTTCAGTACTAGGACTTTGACTTAGGTGCAGCTTGTACGGAGGATTAGTCGGTGTTAGAACATGCTTTGAATTCGACATACCAAACTTGTCGAGAATCTTCTTCAAGTACGTCTCTTGAGATAAGCATAATCTCGAATGCTTTCTATCTCTTCGGATGTCAATCCCAAGAGCTATGGATGCAACTCCCAAATCCTTCATGTCGAACTACTTATCGAGTTCAGACTTGACCTTCATAACATCTTCAACACTATTGTTTGCTATGAGGATGTCATCCACATAAAACAACAAAATAATTAGTGAATTTCCAAGTAGAATCTGAAGTAAACACAGTGGTCGAACTGACTCCTAGTGAAACCAATGTTTGCCATAAACTTGTCGAATATCCTATTCCATTGTCGAGGAGATTGTTTCAGACCATACAAGAACCTATTCAGCTTGAACACATAATCTTCCTTTCTATTTTCTGCATACCATTATGGTTGTCTCATCAGGATTATTTCATCTAGATCACTATAAAGGAAGGTTATCTTCACATCCATCTGTTCAAGATCTAGGTCAAACATTTCCACCGTGGATAACAATATTCTAATGGGTATATGCTTTACAATAGGTGACAACACATCATTGAAGGCTACACCTCCTTTATAAGTGAACCCCCTAGCAACCAATCTTTCCTTAAAACGCTTCGACATCACTCCTTCGATTCCTTCATTCACCTTAAAATTTCACTTACAGGTGACTAGTCCAACCCTTGCAGGTGTTCGCTGCGTTTTCTGGCGAACAACCTCTGGTTAACCAATTTCTTCAGAAAGTTGGGTTACTTGCAGGACCAACCATACAAGTCCTGGGATACATGTGCATTTGGTTCTGTCGAAATACTCTTAGACTTTTGGTGACTAATTTGCGGTTTGTTTTATCAATATTGTCAAAGTATTAAGGACTTTGATTTTGCAAGTAACGAAAGTTTGAACTTAAAGGTGAAATAAGGTTAAAAGTTTAAACAAGAACAAAGAAATGTCGAAAGGCTAAAAACTTGCAAAAAAGTAAATGAAATTTAAAATGACATGGACTTGAAGAATAAACAAGTAATTTAAAATGACTTTGAAATATAACTGGTGTTTAAACGTACATTGTTCCAAATACTAGACTCATTTTCTCTCACACTGGGTACTTAGAGCTTTTACAGGAATTTTGTACAAATTTTCACACACACATTCTAACCACAAACTATCCTATTTATACATAAACAAAATAACTGCTTAGAACGGAAAAACTATAACTAAACGACAAGTGTCAGCCTGCATGTAAATTTCTTCTCTGAAACCTCCATGTGTCCAACTGCCAAAGGTTACAACCTTTGAATTTGAATCTCTTCCTTGGTGACGAAACCTTGTAACTCTTCAAAACTGTCGAAACCCTTTTAAAGGAGAAAAACTCTTCAGCACTTGCCAAACCTTATCTTTTTTTAACAAACTTCTTCTGTCGAAGCCCTCAGTCACAAACTCTCCAAACTATTCTGCCAGAACATTATATCTATTTCTGTCGAAACAATGAAACTTTAAAACCTTGTCAGTAATTCTTGGATTCTCCTCCTGATGCTATCCTTCGACAAAGATGACCTTAAAGCCTGAATTTTAATCTTGTCGAAATTATGGTCTTGTCGAAATTATGGGTTTACAAATTGCCCCCCAGCAAAAGATATTTTCGACTATCAAAGGAGAAATGTCTTTTGCTGTCGAAGTGATCTTTGACTTCCAGTTGCATTTAGCTTTGTTTTCATTGATTTCAATCCCCTTTTTGTGGACCACAAAGCCTAAGAAATCCCCAGCCTGCACACCAAAAGCACATTTAAGAGGATTCATTTTCAAACCAAACTTCCTCATCCTTTCAAAGGACTGTCGAAGATGGTTAATATGGTCGAAGCCTGAAGCAGATTTAATCACAATGTCATCTATATAAATTTGCATAAACGTTTCAATGAAATCGTGAAAAATAGAATTCATAGCCCTTTGGTAAGTAGCTCCAGCATTTTTCAAACCAAAGGGCATTACTACCCATTCATATGTTCCTATTGCTCCTGGACAACGAAAAGCTGTTTTTGGAACGTCTTCTTCAGCAATAAAAATCTGGTTATAACCAGAATAGCCATCAAGCATACTTAAATACTCATGGCCTGCTGCAGAATCTACTAGCATTTCTGCTACTGGCATAGGATACTCATCCTTAGGGGTGGCTGAGTTTAGATCTCTAAAATCAATACACACCCTTAGTGTGCCATTTTTCTTAATCACAGGAACAATATTAGCAATCCATTCGACATACCTTGTTGTACGGATGAATTTGCATTTTAGAAGTCTTTCGACCTCTTCTTTGATCTTCGACAGAATTTCAGGTGCAAAGCGTCTGGGGGTCTGTTTTATTGGCTTCTTCCCTTCCAGAATTGGCAACTTCAATTCCACCAAACTTCTGTCTAAACCAGGCATTTCGTCATAATCCCATGCGAAGCAGTCTTTAAACTCATTCAGCAGCTGGATTATTTCGATTCTGAGTTGAGGATTCAACTTGGCACTGATGTAAGTGGGCCTTTTCTCTGCCCCCAGTCCTAGATTAATCTCCTCTAAGGGATCCTGTGCCACCATTTTCATATTGGTGGAGGTTGGATCCTTTTCGAACCCCAAAGGTTCGTCATCATAAATGGCATCAAGTCTTTGGTTCTGCCATTCACCATTTGAGTCTTCTTCAAAACTCTGATTTGCATGTTGCTCCTCAATATTTTCTTGAGGGTGTTGTCCTTCGACAACCTGAGTGCTGGCTTCGACAGCCATATTTCTTACTTCAGCCTCAAGGGCCGCTTTGTGTTGTTTTTCGGCTATATAAGCCGAAATCCTTTCCATTGCTGAAACTTCAGTCATTTTCACTGAATTCACTTCCCCATCCAGTTGGGTTGACATGGGCAGTTCCCCAAGTGTAATTTGTTTCCCCAATTATTTCTTTATCCCACTGGAAACCATGTGTAGGATGGAGGTACATGGAACAGTAAGCGTTGTCGGAAGCTGTCAGGTCGAAAGCCGCAGGATTGCATGGTGCTATATGGGCTAGGTTCTTGTCGAAGTTACGACTAGTGATATTGTTCACATCAGCTGTGAAGTAACTCTGATCTGCTTCAATGTTTTCGACAATCCCATCTGGCCTCCAGATTGCTATTCTTTGATGCATGGAGGATGGCACAGCCCCAATCCCATGGATCCATTCTCTTCCCAACAGCAAGTTGTAATTTGCTTTTGATGCTATCACCACAAACATTGTAGGCCTGGTGATGGATCCTACAGTCAAGTTCAATTGTATTACTCCCAGTGTTGTTCCCACTTTACCTTCATAGTTGGACAACACCATATTGTGAGGCTTAGTGTCGGAGTCATCTTTTCCAATTCTCCTTATCATGTAATGAGGAATTAAATTTACAGCTGCTCCGCCATCTATCAGAATTTTGTTGACACCTACACCTTCTACCTTTCCTTTTATGAAGAGAGGCTTTAAGTGAGCCTTCATTGCATCATCTGGCTTTTCGAAGAAGGCATTTTGCTCTTCGACACAGCCATTGTTCATTATGTAGTAGCATACAGGCTTCAAGCTTATGCTATCATCCATCATGTCATCCTCTTCGTCTTCGACTTCCATTATCCTGTCGAAGTCTCTGGGCAGTACAGAAACCACATTGCAAGTTACGTCGAAAGAAGCATCTGATTCTGAACCAAATTCATCTGTGACTTCTTCGTCCACTGGCATTCTATTGTTTGTTTTCTGCACCTCTGTGGTGTCACCAGATCTATTCTTCTGAATGATTTCTTTTTCTGCCAGGGGCATTCCCTTGTTCGTAATCTGCACACATTTGCTTGATTCAGCTTCCTTCTGCCCAACCTTTTGGTATTCTACAGTTTTCTTTTCAATTTTCTTCTGCCTTTGGAATCTTCTCCATTGGGATCTGGACATAGGATTCTTCCCTTTGTAGTTTTCAGAGACGTATTTTGGCTTTGCCTCCTTTTTAACTTCCATGGAAGGACCCCTGTTCACTTCAAAACTCTTCCATCTCTTCTGACCTTGGACATCCCTTATAGGCTGAACCCATTTGTCATCATTTGGCCTGTTGGATGGTTTGTAAGTGTTGAAACGTCTTTCTCCGACCCCTTGACTGTGATGCTCCCCTCTTCTTGGG